CGCCTTTATAAATAATCGTTCTAAATAACTAAATTCACGAATAAAGTAAATGGTTTGAACGCGGGAGTATCGTCACATGTTTGTAGATGTAGATCGTCCAGGTTGGTATAGTCCTGAGAAGGACTGTTTTTGTTGTTGTTGACTGACGTTTCGACAACCTTAGCGGTATGACTCTGAAGATGACATAGCGCTATCCATTGGATAGTGTTATTCTTTTGGATAGTAAAATTTTCAAACTTATAAAAAGTTATTTGTATTTTCCTTACGACATAGAAATTTTTGTAATCTGGGAAGCAATATTTTCCTTAAGCGAATTCTCATTTCAAATCTTATATTTTTCTCTGTTAAGAGGTTTCTTAAACATTCAAAAAAGCTTGCTATCCAGTGGATAGCGCTGTTTGATCTTTGTGCAACCGGCCCCAGATGCATATGTGAAAGGCAAAGGAAGTTAGGAATGCTATATGGGGTAGTGCCCAGTCTACAGGGATAAACCCCGATTGAACCTCAAAATATAGACATATCACAATGATACACATAATGTTTAGAACAAGTTCCCAACAACATAGGACCCATTCAGCTATGACCCATTTGTACTTTTTACTTTATATATATATACAACATAGGTAGACCCCCTCCCTATCCCTGGTAAACTAGCTACTATATCAAATTCAGCAAAATGAACTTCGTCTTCATAGAAAAGAAATTTTATCAATTGTATTTGTAGTAAATGAACACAAAAAGACTTGTAGTACAGGAGTGAAAAACCAAGCTAGCTTCAATAACTTGACAAAAGCTAGATACACCAATAGAGAACAAGGTACATTCCGAACAAAAATAGCTGTACCCGAGGTATTCTTTCAGTAAGCAATGTATATAAGTTTTTACAATCTTTCATGCACAGGCATTAATAAGTTCAGAGCTACATTAAGTTACATTAAACTATACCTGGATGAGAAGATAAAGTTCTATTTCCTTGGGGGTCAACTTTCTGAAATACAAGATATCACATTTCTTAACAACAATTCCAAAAGAAAGCCATCAAACATAAAGTGAATATCAAATCTGAATAAATGTAGCGTCTTGAGCAGCCTGTGTCTTACATTGTAAATTCTATAACATGTATTCATTTCTTCAGAAATTTAAAGTTTCGTGGTCATCAAAGTAAGAAATATGGTCAAAAACAGACTCGAATCATCCCCTTGGAACTTGAAATTCTAAATGCAGCTGAAATTATTATTGATAAACACAATACTTTAAACACGACATTTCGTGTTTAAACAAAACAGCAATGATGGATATGGCATCCAAACAAAACAAGCTGATTGTATTCAACGTGTATTTCTACATTGAACTTGCTACTTACAAATAAATGGATGATGGTTTGGTTAGCCATCATGTTTTATGCCCACTGTCCACACTATACAACATGCCCTTCACGTTAGTTTAACTACAATTAGCCTGTTACTAACCTTCAATGTATACACTCGGTTACCCTGCTCGTCCAAATAGTGCATTAAATGCATTTTTGCCAAATATTCAACTCTGTAAAGAAACCAGAATTATTCAAGATACAGAGAAGCTGTACTGTCGTGGTCAGGTAGCACGTGTTGTTAGTTTAAGTTTACTAAGTTACCGACTGAAAGCTTGATTATTGTAGTATAATATTAAATTTCTCACCTCACATCGAGCAAGCCCGGTTAGCTCAGTTGGTAGAGCATCAGACTTTTAATCTGAGGGCCAGGGGTTCGAGTCCCCTATCGGGCTGCTTACATTTTTATTTTTCAATTTTATGTGCGTGAATAGAATAACATCATTCAGAAAAAAATTTGTTGTAAAAACGTCTTTAGCAGACATTGTTTTTGTTTTTAAAATTACTAACATAATTTTAAAGGTTTTGTGTACTTGGCGTTGAGCGTGATAACGTAAAAAGATAAACCAAAAAGTAAAAGGGAAATCTTTAAGGTCTTGAGGGCCTGGGTCTTGTACCAATTCAGCTACCAATTTATCTAACCAAAATCCTTTGCGCAGCATTACGTGCTCATGCGTCACATTGCCTCAAATGATCGATCAATTCCGCTTTTATGAAATCAGTGACGTCATAAATAAAGCCATTAGGAGACAATTCGCCACAGTTTGCAACATCACACTTATGGTTTGAAAGCTTTTCAAATCATTCAGTTAAAAATGTCTTCGCTGATTGATTCCGAGGCTATTCGTGGCGCTTACGAAGACGTACGAAACGATAAAACATCAACTGTGTGGTAGGTGCTTTCACCTTGTTTCCACGGCAGTCAATTCTATCGATAGGTTGCGTGTCTGAAGTGTCAAGAAGCGCATCCATTGGCAAGTGTAACCTGTCTTATCACCGGCAATTCGATACATTGCACTGTAGCATCTTTGTACGCAGCACTTGGGCTATTTAAATATGAAGGAATAGTAGTCGAAATGATAAAAACTGATTTGTATCATTCAAACACCGTTTTTACGTACCTGGCTATTGATAATAGGAGCGCTGTTTCTCAGTTGTCGACTGAAATTATCAGATATGCAAAATGCCGTGAGATCAGAATGCGGTATCGACTCTTGATGGGAGTCGGTGTAACACTATTATCTTTGACTGAATGTATATTTCGTTATTTTCCTACCCAACAGGGCTGTCTTCAAATATGACGATAAGCGTATAGTGTACACTGGAGATTGTGGCGATAAATACGAGGACTTTCTTAATTTTTGCGAAGGTATGTCTGATGAATTATCGCTGTATGATAATGTTTTCCTAATAATATAAACAATTTACAGATGACGCTCGCATATACGCGTACGTTCGAGTTGAAACTGGTGACGAAATGAGCAGGCGAGCAAAATTCGCTTTCATAACATGGATTGGACCCGGTGTCTCTGCGCTGAAAAAGGCAAAAGTTAGCACAGATAAAGGCTTCATCAAGGAATCGTGTCCGGTAAGGGAAGCCAGACTAGACTCCGTATCTTCATAACACATCCTGAAAGATAGACTTTCTTGTTTCTATCAATCTCTGTTTAATATGGCGACTTCGACACTGATGAATCGCAAACTATCTCATATTTTATTAAGTACAGCTGTAGACTTCGAAAATGTTCCACTTCCTCAAATTTTTCTGTTTAATTTTTTGTTTGTATTATTTCGCAATGGTGGGCGTTACGGTACTTAGTTTACCAAGATCCAAATTTAGGGTGTTTGGCAGACAAATGACGAACGCGAATGAGTTCTTTAATCTCGAGTGGTTGTAGCCTAACTACCTATTAAGACATTCATACAATATTTGGGGCAGAGTTCTTTGGACTTTTCATTTACCGCCGATAATTGCCGCTAAACGCTTTCAATGTTCAAAGCATTTTTTATCGGCCTGCTACGGTGCACCGGTCACAGACACACTGCATTTTTATTCGAATTTGCATTTACATGAGATGGCAAAGGAGGTTATGCAGGAGATATGAACTGAAACCATAGATCGGGCTCATCTTCTGATTACTCCATACATTTGTAAAATACAAATAAATCTCTTATTTGAATAAATCGTTGCAAATCATTGAACGAGAAGTCGCCGGTGTGTTGTTGAAATTCCTCATGATCAGTAAGATCAAACTTGTCACGTGTATAATCTTTGTCGTATTTTGAAACCGTTTTCTCTATTTGCCATTTTCGGTACTTGAACTGCGTATTGCCAGCCGGTTTTCGAAATGGCTCTAAAAAGGACCGCGTGACGTGTAAATGTGCATTTTTTGCCTTTATAGAGCTTTGGCAAGGAAATTCTCGCCGACGAAAAGTCGGAAATTTTAGAAGAGAAGGTCAAAGAAGTCTTGAAGGCAGCAGGTGGTGCTAATTATGGTACTGGCAAGTAGCCGGGATTTTTGAAAATGAACACTTGAATCTGGATAAATTGTATTCCTGTATAATATTTTTGTATTGGATTTTGTTTAGAAATATGACATAACATATCTGCACTTACTAACAAAAAAATAAATTAGAATAATTGGTCAAATATTCTTGGCAATTTAAATGAAACCGATGTACGCGTTTTGTTTTGAAATACATGTAGTAACTGCTCAAAAACAAGTGTGATTTTTTCACACACAATGGCTATGCCTTACATTTTTCATGTGGAAAACGTCACAATTACCCAGTGGGTGCACCTTAGATTTCTTGCATTTTGCAAAGCTTGAAAATCAGAATGCGGTTATGTATTTCTTTTCGTAGAAATGTATTCTTCCCGTATGCGCTTTAAAAATTCTAGAATGGGGAGATTTTGTCTAACGTATAAAATAGTATCAATTACATTCCATAAACAAATGTGCTCTTGGATGGTTCTCTTTTGGCTGAAATTTAACAAGTTCTATTTCATGATTTGATTAAGAACTTAATTTTATTAAGTACCTATAAAAAAGCACACCACTTCACGGATGTAGATTGCTAATTTGTCTGAGTCTGGATTATCACATAAGACTTGGAATGACATCTCTTGATCACCCGAGATAGCACTGTAACTGTAAGGTGCGCTTTGTCGTCAGCGAACTTCTACCAAAAGACAGGCAAGGATGAGCAAGTGGGGAGCAGACCCCCTTCGAATGACATTTTCAAGTCTATAAATCATAACATGTAAGGGCCATTTTTGAGGGGCGAGCGATTCAAACGATTTCCAATTCTTTTTCGCAATGAATTCGAGATGCATAGATTTCGTAAAATCAAATTCCTTCTTTAATGGCGTTGCATACGTAATCATTATGTAACATTGCCTCAAAGGGTTGATCGATTCCTTGGCATCTTATGGAATCAGTGATCAGTGACGCTACAGTTAAGGGCGGATGTTATTATTCTGTTTGTTCTGGATTTATGATTCACGATTGGTTTGATAAACGACGAACAACAATTAGTGTTCATCCATATTGTTTTATTGAGCCAATTGGAAAACAATTTATAGAAAGCGGTCCTTACCGTTTACTTATTGATAAACGAAGCGTGTGGCAGTCACTTGGTTCAGTGTGACAGCTGCATCGTTGACAGAGCGTATATTTCTAACACAGCAAGGAGCAAGGCTGTTGGCAAAAATGACGATCAGCGTATCGCGTACATTCGTGATCTTAGTATCAACCATGACGATTTTCTTCAATTTTGTACAGGTATACCTTGTTAATTGTTTTTGTTATAATTAGTAATATACAACGAATAGGCGATAAACTTTACATACATTTCTTTAGATACAAGGATCGTCAATGAATCCAATCATCGATTTCGATGCTATTCGTGCCGCTTACGAAGACGTGCGAAACGACGATTCACCAACTGTGTGGTAGGTACTGTATTTTGTTGCCGAATGATAAGTGTTTGATTATGGAGTACGGCTGCAGCCTACTTCAAGTGCTGGCGTGGCGGTGTTCACAAGAAGCCCATCCCATCACCTAGAGGTGCAACTGGTATCATAAAAACTAAAATAATGCTAAAGTAATCTATCAGTGACGGAGATATCAGTCGATGTTTATGATACTTGATAATCCAAGCACTGTGTTATCGTTATCGATCGAAATCATACCCGAGTAATCTAAACCTAGGTGTCCCCAAAATGTGGCGTCGCTCTTAAATCGGGATAGTCTATGTAACAATTAAATCTTTCAATGCATATTTCCTACCCATCAGGGCCGCTTTCAAATATGAAGGTAAGCGCATCGTGTACGCCGGTCACGGGAATAACTATGACGGATTTCTTCGATTTTGTACAGGTACGTATATTATATAATTATTGCTGTTATAATCAGTTCTGTTGTTACATAAAACTTACAATAAGTCAAACAATTCGTACAAATGTAAACAATTTACAGATGACGCTCGCATATACGCGTACGTTCGAGTTGAAACTGGTGACGAAATGAGCAGGCGAGCAAAATTCGCTTTCATAACATGGATTGGACCTGGTGTATCTCCTTTGAAAAAGGCTAAAGTCAGCACAGATAAAGCTTTCGTTAAGGAAGCCTGTCCGGTAAGGAAAAGTAGACTGTATTTCTTTAAACAGTGTCCTTTACGAAGACTTTTTGTCTCTTACAAGACTTTGCTAAATACGAAAATTTACTCAGATGTTGCTGCCACGTCTTAAATTATCCTTTATCGGCCACGTCACACGATTAGGCAATAGGGCGTGAACGTTAAGTGAGTAACACGAACCGAAATCTCATACAATAATTTTATGTACTGACATCGACATATAGACTGTTAATTTAAGCATTGATGAAATCAATGATGCAATCAATTTAAGCATTGATTCAATTTAAGCCTTGATGAAATCAATGATGCAATCAATTTAAGCGTTGATGCAATTTAAGCACTGATGAAATCAATGATGAAATCAATTTAAGCATATGATGAAATCAATATTAAAGAAAAACTTTTCGAGAAACAACACATATATATATATATATATATATATGTATTCTTACATGCAGTTATTACATGTTAATATTTCAGAACGTTTCCGGTTCATTAGGTGTGTAAAACATGCAATCAACCGATCCGTAACCAGGGGAGTGCACTGGATGCACGTGCAATATTGAAATTATTGAAAATAAAAATGATCTTTATATTTTTGAACCTGTTAGTTTCCTGGTAGCTTTAAATAAAAAGTGGACGAGCTTTGCTCTCTTAAGGCCGATTTCCATTCAGTGCAAATTGTCGCGCGATCGACTTTTTCCGATCATTTTCTTTTCAATTGTAAGCTCTCGACCGGAACAGTTTTACACTGCTGCACACAATTCAAAAGAAAGTGATCGCAAAAAGTCGATCGTGCGACAATTTGCACTGAATGGAATTCAGCTTTTACATCCACTTTGCGATCAATCAATAAACATTTATTCAAGAAGCATAGTCGTCTATTGCAATTTGACACTTTATTTTAAATTTACTGTTTAATAAGCTATTTTTGTTGTTTAAAAGAATTGATGTAATGCTAAATTTCATAAATATATAGTTGTGTTATACAACTCCCTTATTTCAAATGTGCACTCCCTATGAAACTCTCTGTTCACGGCCTTGACAACGCTAACAGCCACAAGTAGACTTTCATTTGAATGCTTCATGCAATCCGGTTGAAACTTTGCAGCCGACAATCAAAGGAATAGAGGAGAAAATATACTCTAAAAAGCATCATCTTGTAAACTTAAGATTATAGCAAGAGATAAGATTTTTCTGCAAATTCATTAAATTGGCTCAAGAACGACTTTGAATTACAGTCGACAAATTGTCTGTAAATCCTATCTCTCAATTTTATATAACATTTCTATATTGCTAAGGTACAAGCTAGCAAATATAAGTGCAATCGTTGTGGCAGATCGATGTACATAGGTGTAAGAAAATGGATAATTGAGGAGGCTGATTATCATTAACCATAATATGAGGTGTTAAGTTGAAATCAACTGTTTTCTACGGATTAGAACATGCATGTGTACGAACACGAACAACTACAAATCTTCCTATACACCTATGTTGATGTACGTATTTCTACTTGCCAAGCCAGCAACCTCGGTTGCTAATAACATCTCTAAGAAGACTTGATGACGTATATATGAGCATTTCTTTTCTTTGCCCTTGTAGAATTATGATAAGGAAATTCTTGCTGACGAAAGGCCGGAGATCGCACAGCGGAAAGTAAAAGCGGCCTTGGAGTTAGCGGGAAAATGAGTTCCGAAAACTGAACAAAACTACATTTTTTTGTTTTGTAATGTGGCATACCACCTAGGCATTTTTTTGAAAAAATTCCAAAATCAAATAAAAGGTGAAACGATCTTAGCAAATATAATAAAATTCATATGAAAGTGCAGTTTGTACTCGAGCAAACGTCTTTTGTCGACGCGAAGAATGGTGAGTGGGTGTGGTGGGGGTTTGTAATGCTATATGAATTTTTCAGTTTTCACTAACAAATATGTCTGGAAGGCTACCATAAGGTAAGCCTGGTCCACTTAAGTAAAATAAGCATAAAGGACAAGAATTTTGTTTCTTTCGCTTTAGTGGCTTATTAAAACATCTTTGATAACTGATTTTTTCCCCTTATACTTTTGCTCAAGTCGATGCGAGATTGTACCCCGGACACTCTCTCCTCGTGCTCGGGAAGTTCAAATGCGAGGACGCCTTCACTGTTCAAATGGCATGCGCCTTTTTGCAAGTATTTTTACGATTAATGCAAAGTAGACCCACATGTGCATCTTTACTGAGAACTTTTAACGTCGATTCAAAATCAACAACAAATTACTACGTCTAACATTTCTTCTCGAATAATCGAAATAAAACTAAAAATCTCGAAATTATCCAAATTTATCCAAAATAATAGTGCACTAACACATACGCGTGAGATATCACATAAAAACCTCAAAATTTCGTTCCGTTCTTCCAATCAGAACAAGATATCCAGAGTTATATCCACTTTCGTATCAAATATCTTGATGTAAGTGGTCTTTAGGTACGAGTTGTAGTAATAACCGTCTACCTTGGACTCCGCAAGCGCTTTCGAGCTGGCCTTGTCATTTTCCTCGACTTTCTTTTCCAACGCCAAAACCCCGATCTTCACGCTTTTCGGATTAACTGTTCCCAACAATCCGATGTAATAGTAGGTTTCAACAGGCTTGTATTTATCGTGTACACGTTTAACGCGTACTTGTTGCCCGCTGTTCACACCTTTGTGGCTGATTTCTGTCAGGCGGTACTTCTTCTTTGTCTCGGCGTCACGTGACAGACCATCGTCGTCCAAGTACAAAGTGTAGCGATCGTCTCTACCCGGGTAGATGTAGAAAGTGATGGTGTTCTCTTTCCTTGAGAGTATAATTCTCCGATATACTGCTCCAATTCTCGCATGGGGATGATTGCCCCTAAATACATTGACATTATAATAATATTAACCAAAACGTGTGCGCTTAAATTTACGCGTGGACTACTGCTTGAAGTTCTAAGTTGACAATTTCGCTTTGTCATGCTGTCTTATTGTAATTACATAATTACATTCTAATTTTAGTTACATTACGTCATATATTGTAAATAGCAATTATGTCAAATTTATAAAAAGAACTGTACGCTATACTTTATAATTAGCTTGTCGACAGTATATAAGCAGGGGACAGCTAGAGTGCTTATTATGAGATATTGTGTAATATATGAAAGATACCGAATGCTCGTTATAGTTGGCTGTTTGTTTCTGAACGTATCCTCGTTAAGATTTGAGGACAGAGAAGAGTTAAAGATATTGTCTGAGAAGCAAAGCTATTTGCTTTTGGCGTGAACAGATAACTTTATACTATCTTGTTATTTCTTCTCATTAGCTTTCTTCGTTTAATAAATAATATAAAATAATGAAAGTCTTCTGTTCTTAAATCTTTCTCGTTACGGTGAACGTAAGATCCGTTTGTAAACATATTTCGTTTATTGCTTTTCTCGTTTAGATAAACGCCATTCATCGAGGTCTACCTAGATCAGTACACATGAAAAAAGAACCCACCTTCCCGGATGTAGATGGCTGTATTGTCCCATTCAGGCTTATCCCATGGTGCATAGAATGAGAACTCTTGACCGCCTGAGACCGCTGGTCCAAGAGGCGCTTTGCTGTCAGTGAAATGATACCAAACGCTTCCTTGTGGTAGATAGACAGGACGATTTGTTTGTCCCGGGTTCACGATAGGACACACAAGGATGTTACGTCCGACAAAGAACTGATCGTCTAAACGGTTGGCCGTGTATCCATCAACCCAGCCCCACGAGTGATCATCGTCACAAGCAGCATCGTAGTTAAATACACCTAATGAAGGCAACCAAAATGAGCACGATTTGAAGAGTTTTTCACAGAGAAGTGAACAAACAAACATCTAAATTTTAATATCCTCTGAATCTGAAATATTTGAAAGAAATACAGTGTGATTTTGTAATACAAAATTATCACAATAGAGGACCGTTGACCCCACCCCGCCCCCCCGTTAAACAAATGAGCCAACTTCTAGCTTCAACTGTAACATAAGATGCGTTGTCCAGTTTAATATACATATCGCTGATCAAAACCCAAAATTACCTGGCTCGATTTCATCCATGAAAAGAGGGCGACATATTGGTTTACCAGTCACAGTATTCTCGTACATTGCATCGTAGAAAACCTGGATTAGACGGTATCGCAACTCGATATACTTTAGGCAAATGGTCGGCACAGGCTCGGCATATCTATTGAAAGAAGGTAATGGGGCATGTTTAATTATTGTAATTCATCTTAATCATCACAGCTAGAGCCCACTTAATAAAATCACATTTGTTTGGCTTTCTCTAAGAGTGTTTTTTAAGTGAAATTTGCATAAACTTATTTATAAGCCAAAAGAAATATTAAGTTGTTTACAAAAAAATTCATAATATATTAATGTTTATTTATGTTAAGTGGAAGTTGACAAATTTCAAATACCTAATCAGAGAATAGTGTTGTCAACATTGGTTGTTTAAGCACATAAAAAAGTGCTTGTGAAAATGGCTTTAAACATGAAATAGCATATCAGTTGTATGTTAATTTCAACATTATACATGCTGAATTGGTGTTCTGAGGAAAAACAGAGTAACTCACTTGTACGGCTCTTGATATGGCTCTGAATAGTTGTCGTAATGGTTTCTAAACCAAGGCAAAAACGCTCCTTGAATAGTCCATCTTGTAAGCAACTCGGGATCGACAATCTGACCCATGTACTCGCAGCAGAAGCCACCAATATCACAGCCAGACACCGGTTGCCCTGACAGCCCAATCGTAAGCACCAATGGAATGTTGATCTGTACGAATTCCCAGTTCGATGTGCTGTCCCCAGTCCACAGTGCCGCGTGACGGTGAACTCCAATAAAGCCACCTCTGGCGATGATGAAGTTCCGTTTTTCACCGTTGATACGGTCCAGTCCAACGTGCGTTGCTTTGCAGAGATTGTAGTTATACAGGCAGCGAATCTTGGCGAATGGCTTTTTCCCAACCGACACAACCGTCTGTGCATAACGGGTTTCTTCATTATCTGATATCATGAGATCCATTGGAAATGAAAGGAGTGGACAGGGACTTTGATGTATACTTGCTTTCATAGCGGGCGTTGTCATGTCTTGCCAAACGAAGTCCAATCCCCAGTCTAGCAGATCCTTGGAAAGAAATAAGTATTATTTCATGATTGTTCCATATTGCATGTTTGAGACATACTATATACGCTTGATGTTGTATTTATTGTATAGGAAATGCTATTCGACTGTGATTGATTGGTTTCAGAGCATTAAATAGTACACATTTGTAATAAAACAAATATAAGTAAAAAGAAACATACCTAACACACACATACCTAACACAAATATACCTACCACAAACATACCTACCACAAATTTTCGTTCCACAAATATACGTAACACAAGTGTACAATTAACAAAGCAAATTAAAAAAGTAATCAAAGGAAGTTGCACTGTTTTGCGTCATCTGTTTTTGAGCCAAATAACGTGAACTGTGATGGAATTTCACGTGTGTGAAGAACAAGTGTTGTTTTGATTTCTTTGAAGAACTGCGAGTTCGTGTTTTCAGCAAATGAACAAAAATACATTGCTATAAGGATACGGCACTAATACCATGTGAAATAATCTTTCAGAAGACTTCATCTTCGGTTGCATATGAATTTTATCTCAAATGTAGGGAAACGTTTGAGTATTTCACATAAGTACCACAAATGTCTCCTATTACAGTACGCTCTTCGAAAAAATTTTGAAAAAGCTCAAAGAAAAAAAGACTTGTCTAATCAATGCACCTGATACTGATTGCCCCACCATTCTTCAACTTCAGGTTTTCCAAGATCTGGGTAATGACCCCAAGTCAACATTCCCCGGCCGTAGTTCACATTTCCGATGAAGAATTCCTCGTCACCATTGGCATCCAATGAAAGAGGTTGTCCCTCGTGTTGATTCACCACGAACATTTTCTTCGCCTTACCGCTGTCCAAGGCTTTATAAGGACTGTTCTCGTCATTCTCGTCCACATTGCAACTGATAATAGTGTGATATTTGTACTCATCTGAAATGAAGTGGAATAAAACGAACATGGAAGTAGGCATATTGGTGTAGCGAACAAAGTAACTTCATTAAAATTTTTTCAATAGGCAGATTAACATAACGGCTATGACGTCAGGTGACAACGCTTTATATTTGAGTCACATGTCTTATGTGCCATTTCAAAAAGTAATCATTGCTAGTGAGATATGACCCAGTGTAAGCAACTGCCTTATCTGCCCGTCATCAGCATCGCTGGCAAAGGGTTTTGGGTCAATTGTTAGTGAAAGAAAACGCGAAATTAACTAATTAAGAGTATCATGACGACCAATTTCTTCAGAAATTTATCGTTATTACAGTATGTCTGTGAACGCTGAATGTTTTCAGAGCGCAAGACTAATTGATCGCTCTGGCTACGTCACTGGAGTCCAGGTACATTTAAATGACGTCATACCTTATATCCCCAATCGTGAAGCGAGCGAAAGAATTCCTTGGGATTAGGAAACTTCTTTGGACTGTAGGTAAAGGTTCGATAGTTATTCTGGAAATCAACATCAACATGCATACCGTCGCAAGGGATCTTTGCCTCCCGGTACTGTAATGCCACCTGCAGGAGACTCCACTTGTTGTTGTAGCACGGACCGTACCCACCTTGGTGGTAGCCAAATACGTACTTTGGCTTCAGGTGGGTGCGACCAGTCAGTTGGGTCAACTCGTTTAACACCTGAGCCACGTTATCACCAGCAAAGAAATAGTAATCAAGTTCCCCGTGAAGAGCACCAATATAGTACTTGTCGCCTTGATAAAAACAAAAACAAGTTAACGGAGTTTTTTTGAAGGACTCGGTTACGAAGCTCGGTCAGGCTTATTTACTATGTAGAGAATTTTTAACATCTTAAATTGATGGTTATAAAGCCTTCAAGAAACCATAAAATTTTGTAATCATTGGGATCATCAGTGTTTAATTGTAAATACTGCTTGGTTTAAATTGCAGCATTCTGTCTTCAAAATGCACTTATCGCCAATGCCAAAATAAACTCCTTCAAGAAGAAATAAACGGGAAACACGCTCGTATACGCGTCCTCTCAGCACAACTAACACAAGCACACTCCACAATAAATTTAACTTTACAATTCGTTTTTTTTTTTTTGTCTATTTCTATGGCTATAATCAGAACTTTATGTTGGGCATTAATTTTTATCACACGAATTCGATTTCCGCTCGGCAAGTCTCTCGCTACAATTTTAAATATTGTATTGAATTTAAAAACTTGAACATTGCGGTCAGGGTTAGTTTTGTTAATGTGGAGTGCTTCTTTGATTTTAAGGGTGAATGAGGTGTCGGCAGTGTCGATGATTTTGAAGCAAGAGGGTGAATAGTTGGTTTTACATGAGTGAGATTGAAGAAGGTGTCGGTAGATATGAGAGTTTTTGTCTGTTGTAGTATGTTCCTGATTCTGGTGGATAAATGGCGCGAAGTTTCGCCAATGTATCGGGAATTACATCCCGCGCAATTGAATTCATATACCACCATTGATTTGATTGAATCAGGGATTGGGTCTTTGAATGAGAAAAGGTTTTTGATTTTGAATGATGTGAAAATTAGTCGAATGTCAATATCTGTACAGAAGCGTTTCATAATGTTTGTAAGTCTGCGTTGTGTGTGTCTTGAGTAATGTCCGATGTATGGTAGTTTGAAGTATAGAGTTGTTATTTTGGAATTTTCATTTGTGTTGGTTGTGATCGTCGTGTCAGTAGTTTCGGTGTCTAGTTTGAGGTTGTTGCTTTGTTTGTTGTCGAGATATCGTTTTACAGTTCTGTTAATAAAGTGAAGTGGGAAAGAGTTTCGTAAAAGAGTGGATGTGATGTTTTTTATGTCTCGTTGAAAGCCATTGTTTGTATTGTTAAGTTTGTATGCTCTGTCGATTAGTGTGCGTATAAGTCCGGTTTTGTATGAAAGTGGTGTGAAACTAAAATAGTTCGTCAGAAGTCCTGTGTATGTTGGTTTGTGGTATGTAGATGTGGTAATTCTTCGAATACTTGATGTAGGATGTAGAATGCGACATAACATGCAGATACTGCAGTTTTAACAATAAGTTTTAACGAATTTCTAAATGAAGTTTCCTTGAAAAAGCGGACTAGCCCAGTTGGTAAAATCTTTGGAGCTCCGCAACCAATGGTACTGTTTTAAAGATTTTCAATAAATAATTGAGCTGCTGTAGTTTATTTCGAAAAAACGCGTATTCTGTAATGCCATTATTTGAAATAATCAACTTAATTGATAGAAATTTTAAAATCTCTCCCTGATGATTATAGTTCAACATCTTTCCTTCAATTTTTCAGTCTTTTCAACCTAGCTCATTACTGCACCCACAACAATTAGAGATGCTTGAACTGGAGCCTTTTCCATAGCAACTTCTTTTTGTGACCCAGACCTCTCTCTCTGTCGTGTTTGGTATACGTAGCCACGATGCACATCATTAAAATTTCTGTATAATTTGAGGTGGCATTATACTTGACAATGGTTGGGCACATTTGAGCGACACAGTGCCAACATTTTCTACCGAATATCCGCTGTACAAATCAACGCAGTTTGATGTTGGTGAAGTGAAATTCGATCCTTTTTTTGCTACCGAAGCTGCAGCTCAACCGGAGCCAAAGAATTTGAAGAAATACAAGGTAAGCAATTAAACAACACTTGCAAATCTCGATGTATTGAAAGTATTTTAAAACGCAGCTGTATATTCCAGGTAAAAGTGAATCTCTGGTTCAGTCCTGAACACACAAACTGTGCCATTCACGACCATCACAGTGAAAACAAGGCTAAGGAAATACTCGAGGTTCACACGCAGGTCTACGGAGTCGGCCGCATGCAGAAGTTCCACGATGATAAGTTCTCGACAATTTACGAGGATGTCATCCTTGGTGAGGGAATGACTCACACTCCTTTTGCCGCTGTCCACGAGGACGGTACCTTCTATTATCCATGGCATCAGTATTACGCTGATACCGATTGTATCTGGATGGCTGTAGAATTTCACCCGCAGTAACGTTATAAAAAGGATCGATTTGGAAATTTGAATAATAGACTGATGGGTATAGTTGAAATGAGTTAAAAAGCAATGGCTTTTATGAAACTTAGGGCGGCCATTATTAGTGATTAAAAATTATTTGATATCGGTATACACTGCTGTCTCAAATAAAGAATCAAACATTGTAACACACTCTACTAATAAAGTAAATGGTGCAGTTTACAAAATAAACTGCTCCGACTGCCATGCTTCCTATATCGGGGAGACTGGCAGGAACTTAAATATAAGACCTACTGAACACAAACGAGGTACAAACGATGACGTAAGAACATGATAACAAATACGGCTAACCTGACGTTTACTCCTCACTTGACTCTGAAGATGACTACCGCTAAGGTTGTCGAAACTTCAGTCTACATCAATACCAACAGTCCTTCTCTGGACTCTACTAACCTTTTATCGCAAAATGAAAATAAAATGGTATTTTTTGGATTGATCCGTTTTGAGTTGAGCAACTAGGAACAATTTATTACAAAATTTAGTCAAAGGGACAGCAATGACCTAGAACCCAATCTACTAGATAACTGACTCCGCCAATATTGTATATGATGAGTCAGATATTATTTCAGACAAAATTTGTACAATAACCAACAAAAAAAGCCAAGGCGTGGTGACTAAGCTTAGCTGGCCTGGCAAGACCTGGCCACTATGCCACACAATAAATCTCATCCGACATGGTGAATAAAACAACAACAGGGAAACTATGGAAAAACACACGCAAAAAAAGAAATTGTGGTACAGTTTGAAGTGTTTTTTTTTATTAAGATTTAATAAGATTTCGAAGCAACGTATTAAAATTGAGGCATGGAAAAGGGAGATATTCTTGTTTAGAAGACAAAGAAAAAGCTAGCAGTTGGGGGTGAACCGGGTGACTCGTTAGCTCACTGAGTGAAGCTTATACATGACTTTAATACTCAGACTAAGCTTGTTTACAATTTGCTGGCAGACAGATTCATCCCAGATTAAACCATTGTTTCCAGTGCTTTCTAAAAGCACTCGATTAAACCTGCCTCCTAGCAAAACGTAAAAAGTCACGTCGTCTATAAAATAATGTTGGTATCATTTACACACAGATATATCTCTTTCTATGACCCTGATTTGCTAGAAATTTATTTATAATGGTCAGTAGAAAAAGATGTTCTTCTACAGCACTTTGATTGTTATACCCTAACATGTTAAATCTTTTGACTCTTGTCTATTCAAATTTTTACTTTCACCCTGTTGCAGCTTTAAAAAATTGATCATCTCAGTTTTGATAAAGGATAGGTTCCATAGTTTAAGTAGTTAATGTAATATTACATCTGTGCTGGTAATGAAATTGATTATTCAGCAAGATCAGGGGTTTTTAAAACTTTTCCATTACTTTCTTACAAGCATAACTCTGTTACACATTGCCTAGCACAATTTTCTGACTTCACCAGCCAACCCACTTTAAGACAGATCTACTCTATGATCCCCCTCCCACCCCCTACACACACACACACACAGTAAAATAGTAATGTTCTTCGCTCTTATGTTTGTGGCAAATACTTCTAAGTTGCAAGTGATCACTGATCAGATTTGTTTAAAGTGCTTAACCTACAGCAAAACGTAATACTCATGTGCAGAGAACACTTGGAAAAGATGACGATTCTTATCAATTCTTATGCAAACTCTCTAATGAAAGAGTTTCTTTGTGGAAACTCCGTATAAAGTTTCGTGCAGACATAAACAAAGTAAACATAGCTTGGTTTATCAAATGTTTATAGTTACCTAATGGTGGTGATCTTTTATTTATTTTCACCAAGTGTTGACCAACATCTCAATGCTTTATGTTGCAGCTGTTTCTCTTTGTACCTTTCTGAAAATGCAAGAGGAAACTCTTGGCTTGTTACAAATAAATAATTTTACATGTTTACTGCAACTACTAATCATTACTGTAAAAGTTGTTCATTTCATGACAACTCTTGGAAGGAGACAATATGTGAAAAAAATCTAGGTCATTCTTTTTTCCTTCCGTGAACATTGACAAAATTCAACATTTGGTTAGAATAAGATAAATTTTGTACATATATAACAAATTCTTATTTTAATTACAAAACAACAAACAAATGCGATGTGGTACATGTTTTGCATTTTAAACTCAGTTTTCTTCACTAAATCGGGTTGGTTAAAAGACAAATTTTGTACATATTTAACCAACTCTCTTTTAATTGCAAAACATTGCAGAACTAGTACATAATAAATATTTTGCATCTTAAACTCAGTTTTTCTTCACTAAAAGGACGTTGGTTAAAATAAGACAAATTTTGTACATATTTAACCAACTTCCGTTTTGCAGTCTATTAAAGATGTAAAACATGTATCATGCACTATTTTGCAATGTTTTGTAATAAAAGAGAGTTGGTTAAATATGTACAAAATTGTCTTATTTTAACCAACCCTCAAAGAAAACTGTGTTTAAGATGCAAAATATATATTATGTACTAGTTCTGCAATGTTTTGCGATGAAAAGAGAGTTGGTTAAATATGTACAAAAAATTTGATAATTTTCGTAAGGAGGACGGTAAACCAAACAGCTGGTCATGGCTGTTAAAATATATTCATTTTCATTACTTGCCAAAATTGATTGTATTTGCTACAGTACACAAAATATACAGTGCGTCACCATATTGATTTTCAAGCTTTGGAAAGTAATGCGCAAGCTTGAATTTTAAGTGTGCTGTGCTGCTTTTAAGAGAAAACCTAGAGTCAAGTTACTCATTTGAAAACTGTGAACAGTGTTTCTTTGGAATGTGTAATTAACCAAGATCGAGAAAGTCATTCACACGTTGTAATTTTCAGTTAACGTTAAAATATTCGATTTTGACGTCTTGTGCTAGTGTGACACAAAACAGATTTCATTTTCCCGTCGACTGCTCGGTTATCATTTCTAGAGCTTACGCTGTAAAAACGACTGATTGAATCGCATTCTGTGGAGTGAGAACAAGGATCTCCTCACCACGCTAAACTACACATATATGCACGATATAGTTGTATTCATTCTCGAAACCATAAAGTGCCTATGAAATAAAATTTTGTGAATTTTTTTTGCATTATCGAAAAATATCATCTTTCTTGATCATTTTAACATCAACCTTGTAGAGCAACTCCAACTAAAACTTAATAAATTTTGAGTTTAAAGTAAGGACATCAGCAAATTTTCTGTCAAAACCGCGCGGGGTCAAGAGGTCGTGATGACGTGTGCCGTGTGACACAGCTACTCTTTAAATCTGTAAATACTATTATTATTATTGTGACTATAAATGCCGTAATTTTGCGACGTTATAAAATAAGTTCTATGCGTCGGAATTGAATTCTGGTTTTTTCTTATGGCTCAGAACGATAAGGTCTTGCGAAATAGCAAAAAAAATTCGCAAAATTTTATTTCATAGGCATTTTAACTAAGAAAACAAATTTGTTTATTTCCGTCAATCTGATATCTATGAAAAGGTTCATGACATTAATTGACTCGTGTTCACGTAACAGGGATGAAAGAATGGCAGCTAAAGGCCGATTTATGCTGCGCGCGACAAGCGTCGCGCGTACTTTCGATTTGCGCAAGACAGGTGCGCGCGTGCTAAGCTGTGTTTATAGTTAACGCGCTTACAGACGCGTATTCAACAAAATCGGATAACATGAAGTAATGCGGTATTCTCACGATCAAACATGGCAACTCGAGTTAGAGGAGAAATGGATGACCTTCTCGATCTGGAGGAGGAGGAAATGTTGTGCTATTTACTTTTGTTGCTACAACAGAAAAAACGAAAATGAAGAAGATGGTCAGTTCGACCACTTCACGCTTCTAGAAAAAGTGAGGGTGAATACGTTCTTGTTCAACAAATGAGAGGCATAGACGAAGAAATGCATTTTAAGTATTTTCGTATGTCTTCTGCCCGTTTCGACGACTTGGCACATCGAATTATGCCTCATGTAAAGCATGCATCTACGCATTTAAGTCCTGTTAGTGTAAAAGAAAGGCTAGCAGTTACGTTAAGAATTCTATCGTCTGGCGCCTCACAACAAACTGTGGCTTCAAGTTACCGATTAGGATCAACTACAGTTTCCCTAATTTTGTTGGAGGTGTGTGTAGCTATCTGGTTGGCATTGAATGAAGAGTTTGTTGCCTTTCCTTCTGGTTCACAATGGGCAGAAATTTCGCGTGAGTTTTGGAGGCTTTGGAACTTTCCAAATTGTCTGGGCTCTATAGATGGAAAGCATGTGCAACTCAAAGCACCTCCTCTTTCTGGAAGTGATTTCTTTAATTATAAAGGAACTCATTCTGTTGTACTAATGGCTGTATGTGATGCTTGCTATCGCTTTCTAATGGTAGATGTAGGTGCATATGGAAGGCAAAGTGATGGGGGGATTTCCAAGAAAGCAAATTTGGGGAGCAGCTATTAAATGGACAACTTGGTTTGCCCTTGCCAGAGGATCTACCTGTTAGTAAACTTACATTACCTTATGTATTTGTTGGCGATGCTGCTTTTCCTCTTCATGTTAATATGATGAGACCTTACCCAGGTACATTTTCTTTTGTTAACTCCATGCACTTTTATATATATTTTCCGTTTTCAATGAAAATAATTTTCTTATGTTTAATCAAAACATAATTATTTCATATATTTTGAAAATTTATATTAACTGTTTGTGACTTCAAAAATGAAATAAATTTATTCAATTTATGTCTGTGTAAGACTCATTCAAAATGTTTTTTTCATTCCCCACAAGAATTGCGATCAAAAAAATTTCCTGGCTGCTTGTTGGCAGAGTTTCCCAAGACTCAGTAAATTGCTAAAACAGTTGATCTTAATGCCATTTTTGTTCTATTTACTCTTAAGGTAATAACCTTGACAATCCCAAGAAAATTTATAACTACCGCCATTCCAGAGCTAGAAGGGTAATTGAAAATTACCATTTCAAACAATATTTTATGAATGGAAAATTTAGCTTCAGATTTCAACTTGCCTGGAAGCTTTCGGAGAGTGTCAGCCACTGTATCTGAAAAGCGACTTTCTTCATCAATTTTCATATGTTTTGTTTCTCTTTCTTCTCTAATCTTTTTCAAAGAATCAAGTCTTTCACAAACTAATGTCTCTAAATGTGCAGATCTCTTTCTATAGCCCTTGGTCGGGTTTACCACAGCTCTACTCAAAGCAATTGTGGAAGGGGCAGATGGGTCACTACTTACTGGTGTGGTAGGTTTGGTAGGTAATGTAGGTGTTGTACACGAATTTTCACTGACATTTGAATCGCTTCTACTTGTTGAGGGAGACCATGCGGTTAGGTCAAACTCCTCCATATTTATCGTCACAAAATTTCTCCTAGTGGAAGGGATTCTGATGTTGTTATAGGTTCTTCAGTGTTCTCCTACAATCACAGCAACAACAGATGTAACATAATAATCTACTCAATCAGTCAGCCTGTCCCATATTGCATCAAATTTTTTTAATAGCGATTATAACTACCTCCCGAAAATTAGTTTCTGTGTCCCTATGCTTTATTTGATCAGACAACCAAGACAGACTGAGGAATATCGGTGGGATAGATTTGCCACCAGCATCTCCACTTCTAGACTTCATTCGTTTCTTTGCTTTGGTGTAACGATTTCTCAAATTTTTCCATTTCTGTCGACAAATTTGTTCATTTGTGTTAAGGTTTCTCGCTATTTCATTCCAAGAATTATTGGTTTTCTGAGTATCTTTATAATCTCGTCTCGAAGAATCGTAAAGATGACCATATTTTCGGACTTCTTCTGCTAATTTTTCTTCGAACCCTTCCATTGCTGCTGCCATCTTGTGTTAGTAATTGGATATTCATTATTCAGTATTGACAAACAACTCAAGAACTTCCCCCCGAAAGAAGCCTTTCAGCCAATCACAACGCGCGACAACGCGACAACTTGTCTTCGACGTTACAAAATTTTTGAATGCACGCGACGCGACATCAAGCAAACGCGCCATCAAGATATACTTCCGTTTTAGTCGCAATGACGTAAGATCTACTGTGCGACACGTCGCGCAACGCTTGTCGCGCGCAGCATAAATCGGCCTTAAATCGGCCTTAACCGTTTAGTCTTCGAGCGCACATATTGTCGTAAGCTTGCCTACCCGGAAACAGACGTGCAATTTGTCTGTTTCTCTTTCATTTTCTTTGTTACAATGAAACTGTGTAGTTCTTTGTGTGATTATTTAGTAACTGAGCAAGTGACAGTGCTTTGGATTCTTTAAATATCTTGTTATTACTAAAAGCATGAGTAAGCGAAAGTTGATTTGAAGGGTAGATTAAAAGTCATAAAATTGTTGTGCGTCCAGTGTTCTCAGAAAAATCCTTCGATTCAGTTGAACAGGTAAGAGTAAGTTAAGCGATGTTTATACATGTTCCTGCTGCTTTTAAATCGGGCTTACAGTAAATATTAAACTTGTAACGTTGTCAGAGAATACTCTGTAAAGCTTTACAACATTGATTGTTTTGCCATAACGCTTTGAAGGTCTACTGCATCTTAAACAAGCCTTAGTTTTTTTCCTTCCTTCAACGTTGTAGTAATTGTGCTGAAATTGCTATAACAATATATTATAAATGTTTGACGTTGCAGTATGTTGAAGACTCTTTGTCTGGATTGCTATAAAGCAATTGATTTTAGGATACAATGCGATAGTTTCAGTTAGATTTTCAAATTGGCATATGGCTTCATTGTTAGAAAATATTTTTCTTTCATTGCATTGTAAATCGATGCAAGTTGTGAAAAGTTACACCGGAAACCCTTCCGTATCGCGGGTTGTGTTTTACCCAGTGTTCTATTCCATGGATTTAGTAAGAATAACATTTAATTTAGTGTAGCTTATACGAAAGTGTAAATGTTCGATACGAAAACGCATTTCCAAACTAAGTTTACGTTATTTCATCTTCTATGATTATCACTTACATTAGAGATCATCCTCCAATCACGCAATTGCTCCCGTCATTCACATCAATGCCCAAGATTAAAAAGAGAAAAAGCGTTAAAAGGAAGAGAAATATCAGAAAGGAGGATATTGGTGTACCGTCTAATTTTTGGTAAGGTTTTGTTTTATTATCATTTAAGGTTCCGTTTTCAACCAGCCATTGCTGAATCGGAGATGTCTGATTAAACCTTACAGTCGTTCATTGTTGATGGTACAAATTTAAGTTATATTTGCTATACGTAAAACTAATTTGATCTTTTTCAGGCATGTTGCTCATGTCGGACGAGATGCTCCAGAACATTTTGACGTAAGAACAGAATTCATTGAATGTATACATTCATGTTTTTTGATGTTATTCGTGTTGTGCGATCAAGTCCAATTTTCACTGAACATGTTGTTTCCTAATAAAATTCCTATAGATTGGCACAGTTGATGACACTGGTCAGCGTCCAGGCCTGTCTTCAAGTAGTTCAGCAGGTACGCAGATCGTAGCTCTATGACACTCTCCCCACCTCCCCCCCAAAAAAACACACCACCCAGAGATTCCCTGTAACTTTTATGATTAGCATTTGAGTACTTAATCATCTTCCAGTACGTCATGGTCGGGAATCCTTTCTACTTCTCATGAATCAGCAAGACATCCTGATTATTTTATTTCTTTCTGCTCCATATTTTGTATTTATCCATTGAAATACGAGAAAAGAGGAATAGGGCTTTTCCAGGATTTTCAAAAAAAAATGCTATGTCTTTTGCATTAACCTGTACTCAACAAGAATTAAAAATTTTCAACAAAATTATCAATTTTCGTTTGTACTACGGATGTACAGCTCATTAAACTAAATTAGATGGAACGCTACTGAAACAAATAATTGAAGCCAAATCTGACAACCGTATGCGCGAGATTACACCCAGACACGCATGTGTAGTGTTTCGAGATTCTCTCGCCGAGTAATAATTAATTGCTACACACGCGTGTCTGGGATAAAGTCTCGCGTGTCTGAGTGTGAACTCACGGCTTCAAAAAATTATTAGGGTTTTGTATTACATGTAGCGTTCCATGTATTTTAGTTTATTGGAACAGCTCCGAATTTTCAGACTATTGTCATAAAAATCATAAAAATATCTTCCCTAATATTTTCAAGCAGCGCGACAAAGCATGAAATCACAATGAACCCAGCAAGGAATGGATGGATCCATTCAAAAATAATGTTTGCATTCATGATTTTTTTTCCATACTTCCAACAGAATTTTGTCCCTCTATTTCTCAATTACATGACCAAAGAAGAGATTTGCTTTCCCCAAAGGAGAGTGCAACTAGTGAACACAATGATGTAAGTATAATAGTGACGTCAGGCCTTTCTTTTCTACAAATAAATTTGAAGATGTAAAAATGCAAGCAGTAAGTTATAGTTTAAAAAGAAAACTTATACATCTCATATTTGAAATTACTAACACACACAGATCATGACAGATTTTCGTCTTCCGTAAATAGATATCTTTGCCAAATCTTATCCTATTGCTGGACCGTCGTATGTTGCTGAGTGTCGTCAACATCCTCATATTAACCAAGGGAATATAGCTACAATGGGCGGAGGGATGCTCTCATGCCATAACGTCATTCATGCGGTTTGTTGTGATTGGAGCATAGGAGGAAAGTCTGCTGAAGTACGGGTTGAGTCATCTTCAGTAATTTTATATTTTTTACATAATTTGATATTGGTTGTAAACAACTTCACTTTTCAAAGAAATTCTTCCTGATTAGCTTACACTATTGAAAACCTAAGGACACTGTAAATTTTATTAAAAATCATGTGATTGTTTTCATGTTTTCAGGTGTTAAGTGGACTTTTGTGGAAAATTCTGGAGGAATGCAATCGTCTTAATGCCAAATCTGTGGCGATGCCTTTGTTGGGAACAGGGAAACACAATTTTCAGGAAACTGTTGTTTTACGTTTAATGAGAGAAAAGTTCGAAATATTCAGTTCCAAATTTACAAAAAGTTTACTAAAGGAAATCATTTTGGTAAGATATGATCCGGGAGGAACACGAAAAAAGAACTTAAACGGTACTTTGAAGCATATAAATTTTATCAAAACTTCAATTGTGAAGCCACTGATAAATTTTCTGATTGTTTAGACGACGCTTCATCGCATAAAAAGCCGAGTTTTGTTCCTCTTGCGTTTGGCTGCGGCAAAGAGTCCATAACGCTTCAGGTTATGGGACGTTCCGACCAAAAAATGTTGTTCGCCTTTCAAAAAATCGACGAGTTTATCCATCACAACATCATCACAAAGAAGGTTGATCATAAAAATCTTTACGATGTTCTCCTAAAATATGCAAGTGAATTGAAAAAGATTGCAACGGATGCTCGCATAAGGATGGAATGTGAGAATGAACAGACGATTTCATTGACAGGTTTGAACACCAATGTTATTCAAACGAGCACAATTCTCAAAGATTTCATAAGCAAGCTCACTGAAGATGAAAAAAGACTTAAACGACTGACATACCTGTCAGAAAACGTTCAATGGAGTTACCAAGATGTACACAATAAAGTTATCCATTATAATAAAGAGTTGAGCAGTATACTCGAGATTGCTCGAATGCATGATGAACAAACAGTGGAGTTCACAGAATCAGATGGACAAGTATTCAATGTAGATTTCTCACAAATGAAAGCCACCAGCAGAAGGACGGGTGAAACAAAGACATTGTTGAGAAAGATAATTGGATTTAATTCTGGTTTGTAGTTTTGTTGACTTATTATATCCTGAAGCAATTCTTCCTAAAACGATTTTACAAGAGAGAAATTTCGATACAGATATCCATTTTTTACCATCTTTTCTTTTATTTAATAATTTATTTGTTATATAACGAAAACAGGGGAGAGAATATTTTATATGCTGTGACGACTCATTTCTGAAGAATGATTGTTAATAAAAGTTTTCAAAACCATGCTTGCTGACATTATAAATATTTCTTTTAAATTTCTCAGTTCCATCAAGTTGGTCACCCCAGCCTTCCGATCAAGTTGTCAATCTTGTCGGACTGACACGATCATCCTCTGAATACATCGAGATTAAAGATTACTTTGTGGCTCGAGGAGGAAGATCTGATCAAATTTATGAGATTAATAGAATACAGAACCCTCGTTTGTATTCTCGCTACCAGGCCTTTAAGAGTTCCATGTGTGGTGATGTGAATGAAATGCGTCTTTTTCACGGCACTAATCCAAACAACGTTCGTTCAATAAATTCAAATAACTTCAGCCGAAGCTTTGCAGGAGTAAATGGTGAGAGTTACATATTTTCATGTCTTACAATTATCCCTTTTTGAAAGGTCATCACAGAATATATGCATAAGTACAAACATGGTTTGACGCAAAAAAAACATTAGGCTATTTTTCTAAGAAACTTCATGAAATTTTTCGAAGTATATGAGGACTCTTTAAGACTGCAGAAGTAGATTTTCTTCGGGAAATTTTAATAATCTTTACAGTAAACAGTTGTCCTAAAACTTGTATTCTGTTTATAGCTGTAAAATATGGAAACGGAGTATATTTTGCCAGAGATGCATCGTATTCTCTCAAGTACTCTCTTCATCAGTGTTCTGGATCGCAACCAAAGATGTACATCGCCAAAGTTCTTGTTGGAGCGTACACATTGGGTAAGGAGGGACTAAAGGAGCCACCATCAAGAAATGATCCCGGTAACCCAGGTCTACTCTATGATTCTGTTGTGGATACTCCAAGCAATCCAACAATATTCGTCATTTTCCAAGATAACCAGTCCTATCCTGAGTATCTTATAACATTAAACAAACAATAAAGCAGTTTCAGGAGACTTTCGTCTCTAAATACGAAGTAAAAAAGTTCTGCAATTCTTATTTTAGTAATGATCAATTTTATTCTGCACATTTCTTTTACAAGCTAGAGACATTTCTATATATTTTTCTTAACTACAAGTTTGTGTTATGCATTCTACGTAAACATTTGATATTTACTGCTGAATTCAGTAATGTGAATATAGCTGATTTCATTTTCTTTCTCGACAACATGTCGTAGATATTTATTCTTTTCAATTTAATTTACTGTAAACTCCATTCACATGTACAACAATGTAACATTAAATCTTCTGTTGAGATGATGATGGAGGCTTAGAAAGAATTGTTTCTATTCGAATATCGAATGGAAATTGGGGTTGACACGTGGGAAGGGGTGGAGCTATACTCCTTCTAATTTTCTTTACCAATCGCTATAAATAATATGACGTATGTTGGTAGATGCTGTTTCGTCATTAAATATCTAACTACCAAAAATTTGGACAAAAGTAAACTTGACTTGATTGTCTTTATCTTGTCAATTATTCATTGGTCCTTCCTACAAATTAAAATACCCACAATCTAAATCAACCAACCTGATAAATAAATAATAAATTCAGCAAAACAATGAATATGAATACGTTGGTAAACTAAAGATTGTACACCAATCCCTCCCTACTATACCACACAGTCAAAGTGTTTGGCTTTTAGAACATCTGCATTACATAACTAAAATACTACCAAAATCATAATGTCTTTGTTCGTCCTTCACATTTTTGACCAATTCACCGAAATGATAGAAGAATAATCATCATAGCTATTAAAAAGAACCAGTGGTGTTATAGTCCGCAAAAAACAAATATTATCAAGCTGACGACACCACTTAGACGAACAATCTTCGGTTGCTAACTTTGTATACGGTCTAATAGCTACAGTCATTAACTATTTTTAACAATATATCATGTGACACTGGATGCAACGTGTATGTTATTGCTTTTATCCACTTTTGGTCTAATGCATTCAGAGTACAGAAAATAACAATTTCTGATTCTTTAGTATCCACCATCTACGTTAGGGAGATGAACGAGATGGTATTTTTGAGATAATGCATCATACACAGATTATACAGCAGAAAATGTGATAGCTCTGATTCAATGCACTTAAGTTATAAGTTAAAGAGTTTCTCTTATAGGAAAATAGTTTGATATAAATAAACATAGTTTGAACAATTAGCGAATGCAGGGGTAATGAGTATTTAAGTCATATAAGTGTATTCCGGCACCATTATAGAATAGCCTGCTTCAAAAACTGCATGCAAACAATAATAAGGCTATGATGTAGGATTAGGAAAAAGGTAAAGATACTCTTAGGATATTTTATAACACTCCTATACTTCTCACTATCACTACCTTCAGCAAGCAAATATGAAATCCATCCCTTTAGATATGTACATATTAACAGAATATTGACTTTGTGAAAAATTTTAAATATGTAGGATTTGTTTCATTCATCTAACTTTAACTTTACAAGGCCAGAGCATGCGGAATATATTATACAAGTAAACTAAGAGACTTTGGATTCTTCGACTGTATAAATATGAAGGTATTCTTTCTTACTTCTTAATTAACTCATGTTATACAAAAATGATTGGAAAGAAGATGCATTTTTCAGTGTAAATTAAATAGATTGTTCATCACCATATGATATTAGAAGCACAAAAAGTTGTTGGAATAAAGACAAGTTGAAACTACCTTAAAATTGGGGAGGATGAATGTTTCTTTGTCAAGCAGCTGATGAATGTATTAGCTAAGTAATGATACTAAAGATTCTAATAAAATAAATTCGGACTTTTAAAAACATAGACTTTTCTATCAGAATACTCTTAGCAAATTGATAACAACTGTTAAGTGTCTTGACATAGTTATAATGATTTTATCATTGTGTTATACATATATAGGTAGGTCATGTGATAGTCTATTACTAATCTAATATGTGTAGTTGGTGTTAACATTTCTAAGGCCTTTCTGAAAATAATTTCTGCAGCAGAAAATTTCCTTAATAAGATTTGATATAAATTACAATGGCGCTGAAATGTAGATGTCGGCGGAATATCTTGCGTTTCATTATTGACAACTTGAATTGGCTACAACTGTCAAACTTTTTTTAAATTTTTTGTTCCATTTTTAACACAAAATCACACGTATTGAAAAATGGTCATTAGACGTGTAGTATTTCAGTAGATTAATGCAAAGACAACACAAAATTTGGCATCCAATTTTTTGTTTCACTTTTCATTTCATTTTTACGGAACAGCATATTTGTTGGCATGAATATTAATTGCCTTGTGAAAGGTTTTTGGATTATTTAATTACACGTCAGTGACAAAGTGAAAGCGGTTCGAAGCGAAAGTTCACTTGACGCGAAAGTTGATTTCAAGCTTTTGTAAGAAATTTCTCGGCACTTCTCTACCTATCCAGGTAAGTTAAACTGTGTATAATTTTTGCAATGTTATCAATACTCAAAAAATATACCCAACATACTACAAATACACATAACACAATTTTATCGCGATTTCACGGTCTGAGAGTCTTTAACAAATCTTTCACTTTCCAGCAATTTAAATTCTTCTTTATTTATGTAATATTGTAAATTTAAGCTCTTTGTCGATAGCCTAAAAATATAAGAATTAATATTTATAATATTATAAGTGTTGTACCTGGAAGTATGTCTTTGCATCAAGCCTTTGAGTTCAACATGCAATGTGTTACACGATTTGCTTTATAAAGAACCTTACATTGTTTTAACGTAAGTTATAATGAAACTGTGTAATTCTTTGCGTGATTATTTAGTAACTGAGCAAGTGACAGTGCTTTGGATTCTTTAAATATCTTGTTATTACTGAAAGCATGAGTAAACGAAAGTTGATTTGCGTCCAGTCATAAAGTATACAGACATGAGGACGGACGAAATTAGATTAAAGCAACTAAAAGCAACTACGTTTAAAGTTTTTTTCTCCATCCTTTCGTTGTTGCTATTACCTAGAAATATAAAGCAATTTACATTTGAACTTTGTTTCATTAATAAATGGGGCTAGAGGGGTAATATTTGTATGTGCATGATATAATCTAATTAGTTCCTTTGAAGATAGAATGTTTATTTGAAGTGCTTTTAAATCTATAAACGTTCATGAAAAGGCTTTTTGAGATACTAACTGCAATTGGTTCAATTGAATTTAAACAGGTAAGATAAATATAAGAACTTGTTGGTTTTTCTTGTTGTTAAAGTGTTGTTAAAAGAATTCCGTAAACAACAAAATTTAAGCGCCTTAATTTTGACGAGTTCACGCGTAATAACAAACATTTTACTGCGTTTATTTTAAACTTTCAGAATGCTTTTCCCTTAATTTAGAAGACTTTGGTCAAAACTTATAGATATACAGGAAAGTATACTGCGTATTGCCATATGTTTGTGACGCCTTCAAGCTTTGCTTTGTTGGAAATAGACCAGAGAGTTTTCTTTTTGGCATACATTTAGGAAACGTCTTGTAAGAAAGGTACAATAACAGAAGGCTTTGCCTCAGCTACCATTTTAAAAGGGACTACTTCGTTCATTTTTAAACTAGCTATTTATTCTTCAAAATTCTTCAAATTCTTCAAATTTCAAAGAAATTCTTCAAATTTCTTTGACGTTATAAAAAGATTATGAGAACGTCATTGATCGATGAACATTAATTGATTTTTTAAGGTATATTAATATATTTTATGATTATATACATCTATACAGTCGACAAAACGAAGTCAGTTGGAATTTAAATCGTCAAAGAACAGTTCACATTAGTTCACTTTCGTGAAATAGTCGTCACAGTCACACAAACATCAACCGTAACAAAATGGGAAATATACAAAGACGGAATCAGAATAAAAAGCGCAAGAAACGTTCTTCATTGTATGATATATGCTATTCAACTTTTTTCACCAAAATTGTAATTATATCTGCTTGTTATTCTTATAGCTCCTTCCAGCGTTTGATTCCCCAACGGTTCAGTCAAGGAAAATCTAATGTAAGATCAATGTTTGTTATGTTACTTTATAATGGGTAGCTTTCTGAATGTATTTCATAACCCATGACAAAAAGCACTTGTTACTTACAAGTACATGTTTCGTTGGTTTTTTTTGTGGAGTTAACCATTTAAGTGTTGATAGCAATGCCAAAGTTTCGTACCAAAAAACTGAAGTTTTATAAATTCTTCGTGATATAGTCGTCAACGTCACAAACATCAATTAACAAAACAAAAAGTGCAAAAGAAAAAAGCAATGAAAATTGCTTTAGGTACGATAAATGCATAATACATGTACTTAATCAATTTTATGCACTAGAATTGTAGCTAATTACATCTGCTTGTTATTCCTATAGCTCCTTCCGGCATTCGATTTCCCAACGGTTCAGTCAAGAAAAATCTAATGTAAGATTAATGTTTGTTATGTTACTTTAAAATGGGTAGCTTTCTGAATGTTTTTCATAACCCATGACAAAAAGCACTTGTTACTTACAAGTACATAATTCGTTGTTTGTTTTTTTTTTGTGGAGTTAACCATTTAAGTGTTGATAGCAATGCCAAAGTTTCGTACCAAAAAACTGAAGTTTTATAAATTCTTCGTGATATAGTCGTCAACGTCACAAACATCTATTAACAAAACAAAAAGTGCAAAAGAAAAAAGCAATGAAAATTGCTTTAGGTACGATAAATGCATAATACATGTACTTAATCAATTTTATGCACTAGAATTGTAGCTAATTACATCTGCTTGTTATTCCTATAGCTCCTTCCGGCATTCGATTTCCCAATGGTTCAGTCAAGGAAAATCTAATGTAAGATTAATGTTTGTTATGTTACTTTAAAATAGGTAGCTTTGTAAGTATTATTTATAGCCCATAACCATTTAACCATTCTTAGAATAGCACGTCCGATGATCGGCATCCATGTAATCTTCCACCTGATTCAGAAGGTAATCAAACCAGCAAAAGAACAAGATGCTTAAAAAAACAAAAGAACAATAATAAAAAACCCAGAAGGCTGGGTCAACTCCTTGTTAATACCATGGATGTAGCAAAATAAGGGATTTATTCCTACCTGCCCTCAGAAATATTTGTTTTCGGTTCGAACATCATGAAATAAGAGTGTAAAAAATGATCATAATTACATAGGTGATGGCGCCCAAAGTCCTTTACTGAGCAATATTAGTGAAGTGAACGAGAAAGTGGTAAGTCCAAGTTTTAGTAAAAGAAAACTTAATTTACGGCAATGAGCCATAAAGCAGAAAATTCC